TGCGGGAAAGAACCCAGTAGCCACCATGTTTCCACTGCTGCTCGCCAAACAACTTCAGCAGCCTGCAAAACCAATGCGAGTAGTGAGTAGTGAGTAGCCGCTAGTTACATTACTAGATACCGCGAGTTGTCACTAGCCAAAGGTGTCACTAGCCAAAGGTGTCCAAGTCAGAGTCAGGGCCCCCCCCCCCTTACTTACCTCTCACCAGCAGTTCCTGCCTGGACTTTGGTGTCTCAGCTGAGCCTGATTGAACCGGCATTGTGAAACCCATGACTTGCTCAAATATTCCAATCTTGGGCTCGTGCTTGATGTAGAGCCCAAGCCTAGAAAACCATGAAGCATCTTGAGCCGCGACCTACAATCCTACAACCTAGAATCTAGAACTGAGGCTACCCGAGAACCTGAAAACTGGGAGCCTTGGAGTCTATAAACAAGACTCAAGACTGGTGACTAAACACAACATAAAGAAAATCTAGAATCAAAAAGTGTCGAGAAGCACAGTTGTCATGGTGACCTTGAAAGCATCATGGCTAACCACAGACCCATCAGCAAACCGCTTGGTGCGCTGAGTGCTGAATGGTGGACATGGAGATCCACTCATCAGAAGATCTACCTCTGATCCTCCTGCTGGATCACATGGAGTTGTCAAGCCTTGTGAACGGCAAAGTTCGCACACCTCCGATGCATCCAACTGGGATTCTGCTGATGCATACATATGGAGGAGCCTGCAAGCAGCCTTGGGATCTGAAGAACAAGTAGGGCCGTGGTTCAACCCCATCATCTGGCGGTATGATTCGCAGGTATCTGAAGCCGACGCCAGCACAAAAGGAACGCCCAAAGCCTTGCATGAGTGGAAGCGGGAATAAGCAACATGAGGAAATATACAATATCTACAATCTACAAAAAACAACAAACACAGCCTCAACTAGGTATGGCTAACACAATCATTGAGTCATGGGAGTCATCGGGGTATAGCATAGCGGCATAGCATAGCAGCTAGCTGCCTCCTACTGGCTGCTGACCCTCAAGGAAATCACCCACAAAATGTTCGTTCATAACTCTGAGCGCATTTCATTTGGAAACTCATTACTCCATGATTTCTATATAAGAATCTAAGACTAAGACAAATACAAACAGCAGTCCAGTCGTGGGCAAGTTGTTCACCAACTAGCCCCCATTTTGGAGCTTAGCCACTTGACTGTGCTGCTACTTGATTCCAAGACTGTGCCATTCCATATTCCAGGCTCTATGCCCAGAGGTTGCAATGGACGAGCTCGGGCTTTGCGTTTGCAATAGCGCTGGCTCGATTCAAAATCAAATGATCTAAATCTAGATTTCAATCAAATGATCTAGCAGCTAGCAGCAGCTAGCTAGAAGCTCACCTACTCACGCCATATCGGGAGACCAACGCCAATCACTTGCAGGGCTTTCTACACTTGCCAGTGGACTTGGCGAGAAGCCGTGCTCTTGTCTGTAGAAGATCAAACTCAAGTTGCGCCGATCGCGCCGAAGCATCATGCTCCATTCCTCAGGAGATACAAACATCACCTCTCTCAAAGGTGTTGTCTCTGTTGTCTCCCCTTGATGCTCTTCTGTCTCAGACTCAGGTAGTAGTCCTTGTGCTTCTCGAATGTCTCGGATAAAGCGAAGTACCTCAGCTGAAGCCACTTGATCATTGCCGCTGGCAATATGTTCAGGTGTAGCAGGTCCTGGACCGCTAGCAATATTTTCTGGTGTAGCAGGTCCTGGAATTCCTCGCGCTTGAGCTAATTGGTGGATGCGTGCAATTTCCTCTTCATCCACAATCAATGGAATCTCTGGATCTTCTGGAAGTGGTGGGGTATGAGGTGTTGGTGGTGGAGGAAAGTCAGGCGTGTGCGCAGAGTAAGGGCTTGCGGATTCAAACTCAAATTCCATGTCCGAGGATAAGACATGGGCGGTGATTGGATGCAAGTGTTCATCTTCATCTTCGCCCTCTCTCGTCAACCCGAAGACACCTTCACCATCTGCCACCTCTGTCTCAGCATATTCACAGTCAAAGTGTCCTTCCATGCCCAACTCAGAGCCAGAGCCAGAGTCATTCTCAGACTGCAGAGGAGGTTCACACTGATGATCCGAGCCTGTTGAAGAAGTAGTAGAAGTAGAATCAGAAACCACAGCGCGGCTGCTGTTGCGGCTTGGCTCTTCAAGCCGTGCCCTCTTGGCCAACGGTTCTTGGTGCTCCATATCGGCCATATCGGACCTACCCAAATGACTACCCGAACCTGCCTTTGCAGCCTCAAAATGCTGCAGCATCACAGAAACACTCATCAATAAACCCACACAACCCTGCTCTGCCCTGCCCCACCCCCCCTACAAGCCAAAGGAGCTTTGAGGGCAAAGCTCTCTGCACTGCACCCACTGCAGGCACTCATCACCGTCAAAGGCCGTTTAGTAGCACCCCATGTAGGCCAGCGCAAATGAAGCTTGCCAACCTTAAATGAATGAAGAGACGGACTGAACAGTTTGTCGGGTAGGGGGGTATGTAATTTACCAAAATCAGCTTGAAACAAAACAGCTTTCTGATCAGTCTGATCTGAGCAGCTGTGTCCTGGAGAACCTTGAGCCACCAGCCTGGTGACGTCTCTTGTGAAGTCACCAACTTCTTTTCATCTTCACCATCTGATGGTGTGCGTATGTCCTCAGCCTCTTCAATCAGCCCGATATCTGTCTGGCTCAAGTGCAACTCCTCGTCATATGCTTCATCCCAGCTGTGGTGGCCCGATGAACCACTGGAGCTGCTAGTTCCTTTTTCTTCAAGTGATTCGCACAATGCTGCATCTTCGGAAGTCATGGGCATTCAGCGGGCGTCGAGTCTAGACTCTAGTCTAGACTATCCAAGTCAAAACATTACTGTAAATAATTGTGTGTTTTAGTTGCCTTACGTTTGTTGGATGTGGTAGTTTGGTAGCACTGTCCTCAATTGGTGCAGTCTTGCAACGCGACCTGGACTGAGCCAGAGTGCTGGCTCAAGTTTCTCAACCAGACCAAGTGTTTCAAACAATTGTGTCTCCCGGTTGAGTGGTGCTCAACGTGTTTTCAATGCTAAAAGTCAATGACAAGAATGTGAGACACATGACCTAGAAACGGACAAAAAGACAGATAAACAAATGATAATAAAACGATGATGAGAGAGTCCACAGGTTGAGGTATGATAAAAACATGATAAAATAATGATAATGATAAACAATAAAAATATGCTAAACAAATGATAAAAAAACCTATTTTCACTACTCCAATGCTGTGGCTGCAAAGCTCTCATAACAGGAAGGAGTGGCTTCCGCTACGCCCGAGTTCCGGTGGTGTTGGGTGGCTTCCGTTTGGCCCTCGGGGGTCCACAGGACCGGGGTCCTGCGTCCAAAAAGGGATCATCAACGACGCGCAGACCTTCACTTCGTGATTCACTTCGTGCCCTTTTTGGAGTCCCCTTTCTTGTGAAGGACCTCTTACACCAAGTAAACTCAAGGTATAGGGGGATCTAAAGGTCGCTTTGGAAAAACCAGGAAGTACAGCAGAAACTTTGCCGAGCATGACTTCCGGACCCCCGACATCCTCCACTAACTTGGATCGTTCGAACGATGACCCCGAAAGCATGCTTGACGTGTGGCAAATGGTGCGAACGGACACCAAACCAGATTGAAGATTCTTGAATTCGACGCGATCGTAACGAGAACCGAACCGTTTTGGAGCTTGCTTACAGGAGTGTAGCCGGTTTTCAAGGCTTGCTAAGCTTGCGTTTCACTGTCCGGAACGGTCAGGCTTGACATTACAGATTACAAACTGAAAGCAATATCTCTAGACCTTAGACAGGTCCCTCAAACGGTCAAAGTCACACCGAACGGTCTATGAAAAAAAGTCCCAGAATCCAGTCGCTGCTCTTCCTCATCTCGGATTCACTTTCCTTCATCCCACTCTTCTGAGCTTCGTCCCGACCCACACCCGTCCCGACCGCCCTCCGTCCCGCTCTCGTTTTGGGCCGCGGGTGAGGTGGACCCGTTGAGGCGGAGGAGACGGAGGAGACGCGACGGCCGAGGTCGCAGATGCGAGGTGAGATTCCGTGAGTGGTCATCGGTTGGCAGTTCCTTTCGAAAGCGGACTCACGGTCGGGGTGGTGATTGCTCACCCCAAATTCACCTCTTTTTGGGCGATACATTGAGAAGTTCTAGACCCAAAATCACCGGTTTCCGGGTCGAGATCGAGTCGATCTCATCCAAAAAGCGCGAGCTTGACTCCAGGACCGAACTGGGACCGAACTGGGACCGAGTCCTTCTTTCCTTTGAAAACCTGTGATCCAAAATCAGGACATGCCCGGAAACCCTGAGAAACCCACCAGAAACAGTTCGTTTCACCAACCAGAAGCCACCGACCAATCTCTTCAGTACACAGTCTTGTTGACCAATCGACCGGGTGCGGGTCTCGCATCTCGGATCCGTGGCCTTGGCATCGGCTTCAGTCTGAACTCCCCAACCATGTTGTTTTCCAAGGATTTGAGTTCTTTCAAAACCAGGTCAACCCCTTTTTTGAGTTCTTGGACAAAAACCAGACGGGATTTGTTTGTGCTCTGAAGGAGTTGGCGGAAGTGGGCCCTCGGAAGATGAAGAAAGAACCACCAGGGTGGTTGATAGACTCCCTGATCAGTGTGTTATGGTTGTTGGAAAGAGGGTACTGGTAGCCGGAGTACCACTATAATTCACTGACCGGGTGATACTTTGACCGGGTGGCCTAAAGACCCCTTGGTGCCATTGAGTTTGTCAATGTGGGTGCTCCCTCCACCCCCCTGGTTGAGGGATAAGAGACCACCTTCCACTTCCACCCATGATGATCCATTTCTTTGGTCATTCTTCCATGAAGAATGTTGGAAGGGGTGCCAATGTGATCTTTATAGCTCGGCTCTTTCACATAAATTGCTAGAAATTATCTCTCTCTCTCTCTGATGCAAACAGAAGTCAGTAACAATCTGTTCCCTTTATCTGCGTTGATCATCTCCCTCACGTTCTTCATCGGCCGCGAAAAATCGGCCGTGGCCGCGGTGAATCACTGTGCATCTGACAGGATCTCTAAACACACCACAAAGGTTTGAGTCTTCTCATCCACCGCCTGGCGAGCAAACCACCGTTTAGGGCGATGGACGATGGATCCGAAAGATGGACCAAATGGGACATGTGAGTAATATACGGGGACCCCCCCTCCAAGGTCAACAAGGTCTGAGATTGGAGGTATCTGAGGACCACATCCCCCTAATAAAGGGTGGATCAGAATGCTATCTCTCAAAGAGATGGCATGAGACAAGGGTGGATCAGAAGATCAGTTTCACCATGGACCAGAAGATTTGGAGACGCCCTAGCCCGGTGGAAGCTGCTTCCACGGCAGAAAGCCTAGCTGAGGAGTTGGCTGATTACCGACATCAACTCCTTAGCTAAAAAGAAAGAATTATAAAGAATAAAAAGTTTAATAGTCCACTATATGTTTATTTTTCTGGGGGAGCTGGGATTGATTATATAATAGGGGGAGGTTTCTGGTAGAGAAAAAGATTATTAGGGTGATGCCACGGTGGAAATCGAGGTGTTTAATTAGTTTAGTATTGGAGGGGTCGAGCTGGGATTGATTAATAGGGGGTGGTTGCTTGACCCTGCGTGCGCATTAATGGACATCTATGGCTGTAGGAACCTGTTGGGGATGGTCCTGGGCTATCTGCCCCCCTTTGCAGGCTAAAGGAAACGAAAAGCCGATCCCCACACCATCGGAAAGCGGGTCAAATCCTGTGTCGGGACACGACCACATCCCAGCGCACTTCTTTGAAGAATGCTGACACTGCGCGTATGAGTCCCAATCACTATATAACCACGCGCAGTCACGGGCCCAGGCAATTGGCTTACTCCACTCACACCTGGCCAACAAGTATAGGTTGCACATCGGTTGCAGTCACAGGCAGGCGCTCTCCAATCATTTCCTCGAAAAACGCTCGCAGCGAGACAGAGCTGTTCCCTAGGGCTCCAGTCGTACCTTCGTTTGGTAGGTGTTTGGGGTTGGTTACGACTGGAGCCCTAGGGGTCGGTATCGCCCTGTCCCAACAGGAACCAAGGAGCGCAAAAAGGAGGCGTCGTCTTCGAACGACACCGACACGAAAAAGGTGCATTGTGGACTTCAAGGAGAGGCAGGGAGGGAGATAGGAAGACCATTTGGTGTATTTGACTTATGATATCTTATGATCATATCTATTCATTTATACCTTGGGTTATTATATTACCTGTAACAGTGGATGTGGATGATGATGATGATGATGATGATGATGATGATGATGATGATGGTTAGCAGAGGCCTTGTCCAAAAATAGTAATTTGCTTGTTTACTGACTGTTACAGGTAATAGGACAGACCCTATTCATACCCTTGAGTCATTTCTTCTCAGCTTTGGCGCCCATACTCCGAAGTCCCACTGCCCGTACTCCAGTGTCACGTGTTCCCGGCTCCGGTGTGTTGGCGACCCGGTGTAAGCTCGGTAAAGGAAAAAGGTGCCAAGAAACGCAAACTCTCCAGGCTCGGTGTTCGTGTTTTGTAGATGCTTTAAACAGAACTCATGACGGGTGCTTCTTTGTTTTTGAAAGTCCTGAAAACACGGGTTTGGGTTGTGTTTCATTAGACATGTGTTTTCTTTAGATATTATATGTGTCTTTAGACTTGTTTTCAAACCTTATTTGCTCTTCAGACCTGCTTTTGAGACCTTTTTTGTCTTCCCAACACACGTTTTCGTGTCAAAAGCAGCTCCAGCCGGACTCCCGCCTTGCCAAAATCCCAGTCATCCTGGCCACTCGGAAGCCCGCAAATGTTCTTCCTAGGCACTCGGAAGCAGCACACTGCAGCGCAGCACACGAGGCACGTCCAGGGAGAAAGCAGTTAAGTGGCCATCAAGGAATCCAAATCTTAGGTTGGAGGCCACTGCTTTTAAATCTACAGAATCCAAATTAAACCGTTCCACCGAGACGGAACCCATGCATACCAGCACCATACCAGTTTCCACGAGTAATTACCGTGTTTTCAACTGGTACGTCGGGAAATTCTCTGACGTTCACCAACATCTTCATATATATATATATATATTATATGAAACCATCTCTTGGACGCCTGACAAATGCATCCGTACAAATCCCTATACACCCCTTATTTCCCTTCCCCGTTCATTGCCCCTGGAAAGTTGTACAAACTGTGCGATTTCCTCGTCCATAAGTCATCTGTATGTTGATCAAAAAACATTAAACGTCCTGAAATTTAAAAAAATCATGCAGAAACCAGCCCCGTTTCATCCTCATACTTGTCAACCATTCCAACAATGTCCAACCACTCAAACCCTCTAACATGGGGAACGCAAAAGAAAAAACATTACGATGGCAGAACCAATTTGCCCAATCCACCCATCTGCTCCATCCCACCCGGTCGTGGTCTGCATGTGGCCGCCTCCAAGACCCCAAACGAGTTGCAACTTTGAGGTGACCCAAACGTCTACAACAAGCAACCTGGTTGGAGGTTGGTCGATGTTTTTTGTCCAACACTCCAAAAAACAACGGCAAAATCACCTGAATCAAGAAAAAAAAATATATATATATATATATATTATCCCGGCAAGAGACCCCAAACAGTGTGTGTGTGAGGTCTATAAGCAGAAAGTCTAGAGATCTAGACGCATTGAAGTCCAGAGAGGTGATGGGGTGATGGTGGTGATGAACGTGGGGATCGTGGTGACGGTGGCGATGGTGGTGGGTGAGTGAGTGAGAGTGAGAAAGTGAAAGTGAGAGTGCGAGTGAGAGTGAGAGTCACTGAGTGAGAGTGAGAGTGAGAGTGAGAGTGAGAGTGAGAGTGAGAGTG